CAGCTTGGCAATTGTTGTGATATTCACCAGTGCGTGATGTGCCGTGTAAGGTCGTGCATGCAGCTGCTCTTCTTCAACCCCCTCATAAACAGTTATACCACTCGCTATCTTTATTACTACTACTAATAATAAATCTAATCTAGATATCAAACTAGGTATCAAGTTAGTTAGCTGCTATTAGATAACACTTTTAAAAGCATTGTTATGATTAGTGTGCACATCACTTTGCCGTTTTGTGTGGTTTTGTTTTTTATGTCAGCCTAAAACGCCCTCTGGCCAGCACTGTTGTGAAAGCACTCTTACTTACTATTAAGTGTGATTTCTTGTGAGCACTAATTATTGAGACAGTGCTAATCCCTGACAACCAGAAGCACATAAATGATTATGTAAGGAAATATCTTTCTGCTCTGAGTTTATAGACCTGCAGTAACATTTTTAATAAACAAATTTTGTGCATTTAGAGCTATTGAGGGCAAATTAAATAGCCTCTCAGCATTTTTATTGTCCAGTGAGGTGCTCTGCTGATATTCTCACCGTTCATCAGCAGAAAGAAGAGTAAAGGGCACTCCATTTGGTATGATTAAAAACTGATAAATAGTGTCATGCTTGATGAAAAGGAGAATTTGGTTTTATAAAACTCTGTGCCTTTAAATTTTATTAATCAGGTATTGCTGTATTTCATTTATATTACTATGTGCCTAGTCAGTTTAAATTAGTTCCTCTTAAGCATATAGTACCGATACATACTCGTTAGTAGGGCTGTCAGAATGAAGGTCTTTGTTAAAATACTGTCAAAATGTTCATATTTTGCATATGAAGGCAAAAATAATTCATAAAATGTTTGAGATCTCAAAGATGTAGGATCCCTAAGATGTTTATAGAAACACATGATTCCTGACTTTTTAGCTAAATGACTCTTGTCAGTTAGGTATCATCTTTCTATTTAAATAGTAAATCATTTAAAAAGTCATAGTATATGTAAGTAAATTAACAATTGCCGACTTATGTAGTGCACTACATGAAAATGAGTTGAAGCCAGAGAATGGGATTCACATGGATTTCTGCTTGTCTAAGAAATATAAAACCTAAAATATAAAACTATTAGCTGAGTTCATGAGTTCACTCTGTGTGTGGCAGCATAAAATGCATTTGAATGCTAAACCTTTTAAGTAATTAAAATTTGAATGCATTTTAAAGGAACTTGACAGCTGCACTCTGTGTAGCAGAGTAGATTAAACTGTTTTTTTGTGTCTTGTAGGCCTCAGAATACGCCTTTTCAACCTCTCGCTGAAGTTGTTAACGTGTCTCCTCTACATCCTCCGAGTATCACTGGATGTCCCCACCACCCAAGTCACATGCGCACGGTAAGACAATATAATAAATGTAGTGATTTCTCGGTACTTAAGAGGTAAACAGACCAAGACAGCTGTACCTGAATAACAGCAACAAACTGCTTACAGGAGCACATTGCCTAATAATAAGTCTGATCTGGTTATGAACCCATTACAGTCCATTTCCCTTTCTTTCAACAGCAGACATCTAGGCCCAGAGAAGTGATGAAGCACTCTGTGTTTATGTGTTATGTGTATGTGCGTCTGTGCACCTACGTGTGGGTGTGTGAGAGAGAGAGAGAGAAGGAGAGAGAGTGAGTGGAGAACTGGAGCAATGTGGAAACATACAATGACTAGAGAGTACACTAAAATATAAAGGCACTGCTACGTTCCCATAGAAACCAGACACCAGAGGCATATTTGCGTGGGGGGGGTATACCGGTTTAAACCCCCCTGACATATTTTATGACAGATCCAAATGTGGTTAACACACTTACAGAACAACTAATTCTATACATGTCAAATAACATGTTTGCACAGTAATTACACTATAATGATCTTCATAAAAGGTCAGCAGAGCTCATCATTACCACTGCATATTTAACTGCCCCAAATATCAAACGAATACAGCCCCCAGATTGTTTAATCGCATTTTATTGGGTACAAGATGCTATTGTGAGAAAAATGATCAACCAATCAGAATTGTGCATTTTTCCCATTTCTGAAATCAGCTAGATACACTCTGGAAATGGACGTGAGAGTCTATAAATGACTGAAGATTTGTGGCAGGAAAAGAAAATAAAGGCTAGGTGTCTTTTTATAAGATAAAATGTCATCTTGCCTATTACTGCCTGTGGCAGCGGGGGCGTGGTCAAGCATCAGCTGCAGACAGAGAGGAACCGGCTGGTAACTCATGATGAATCTCACTTGTGTCTTATTACCTCCAGGCTACTTATTTGTATTTCTGTGTGCATTCGGGACTGCCATAACCAGAACCACACACACACACACACACACACACACATTCACACACACTCACACACATGCTGCAGTACGCGAACTTGAACCGGATGAAAGCCGAAGCTAGTGATGGCCCCTTTTCTATTGGTTTGTCTTTTTTTATTGAGTTTTTGAAAGTGCGCTGAAAAAGCATGGTGCAAATAAACTCGAGCCTGGAGGTCTGCTACAATTCTGCCTGACTCACGAGTCTTCCTCAGCACCCTCACACACCAGGTTCTACACTACCGTGTTATTTTAACAATTTCCAGTGGATTCATCTGACAAGATTAGTTGAATGGTGCCTTAAATGACTAAACAACAAATTTATACCATCTCTTCTCTTACTACTGTCTGGCATGGGTTAGTTCAAAGGACTTTAATTGTACAGATTCAGTTTTAATCGTACAGATCACATGGTAATTTCATTTACTAGGCTATATCTCCTCACTTCCCCTGAAATTAATTCCTGGCTACACCACTGCCAGTGTGTCGACTTTTAAGTGAACTAAATTTTCTGTCTGTCTGTGTTACTGTGCTTACAGGAAGCACTGCTCCAATGTCACTGATGCTCTCTGCAGTAAAATCTGTGCCAATCAGACAACAGATCCCATCCAGATCAACTGGTGAGAAATTACTGATGCGTAGTTATTTGCTGTGTGTAGTTCATGATCTTCATCACTGAGTAGCTACGAGATTGAGATAAATAACTGTTATGTACACTGAGCTACAGGTTATTAGGTACACCTAGCTTGTGCATGTTGCAACTCTTTTGGCTTACAGAATAGCAAGGATTCTCCTGCATATGGATTCTACAAGATTCTGCATGCAGTGAACAGGAATGTTGTACCAAGAGGATATTGTTACGCTGCATGGTTGTAAATTTGTCTTGCATGATGCGATACAAGCCTGAAATGGTCTTTTTTTTCCCCCCAAGCCTCAATATTCCAATTTTAATGCTTCCACTCACTTTAGATGCTCTTTCTTGTTCATTTACTGACATCAGCTCTAAACATGATCTTCTGCTATTGTAGCCCATTCGGGAAGCTGATAAATGCTGTGTTCTGAGATAACAATCTGCACACTAATATTGAATTAAATTGCCATTTGTCACTTGTTTTGCCATTTTCATGTTCGATTATACACTAGCTGTTGCTAGAAATTAGCAATGCATTGATACTGATACTGGGTTCCTGTAAAGCTGCTTCATGGCAATGTCCATTGTTAAAAGCGCTATATACATGCAATTGAATTGAATTGAATAACACACTCATTTACTCATGTACACAAAAATGCTCTGACCAAAATCCAAAACCATGTGATCCTATGCCTAGAGAAAGCCAAGAGTATGTTGTCATGCTAATGAAAAGACGACAAGAAATAACAGCAGTCTGGATTTATTTCATGATTAATAATCAAAAAAGCAGACTGTGTTCTGCTAAAATAACTACAGCATCTTCCTACAGTACAAATGATGTGATAAAACATCTTAGGACATTTAAACAGAGCGCTGACCTGAGTGCACAGAGCAGTATCAGAGAGTGTGGTCATTAAAAATGAGTGCAAGGTGCAATGAATCTGAACTGATCATACAGTAAGGTATCCATGAGAGCACTTCAGTTCTTTGAGCATGGAGCACTGAGACGTGTTGCGAAGGTGCAATTCACTGCACCTTGCACTCATTTTTAATGACCACACTCACTGATACTGCTCTGTGCTCACACTGCTCAAACTCAGCATGACGACTTCATTGCTAGCAGCACACTGCGGCAACCAACATAAACAAAGCTAAGTGAAATGTTCCATGACACCCTTGATTGCTTAACGCTAACTAAATTACTCATGTCAGTGTCAGTGTTATTACTGGAATTTATGAGTGCCAAAAAACATGTACTCATACTTGTACTCCATCTGAAAAAAATGTAATATTGATGCATCCCTACTAGAAATGCTTGTCCGTCAGGTTTGGGTGATATGATGTATTATATTTAAGCAATATCACACAAGCAAGCATGCAGCTATACTGAATATTGGCAAAGCTGTGATTGGGTCGTAGGCACGAGCCTGCAGGGTGGTTACTGTAGGTAATCACAGCCGTGCCGATATTCAGTATAACCACACAATTGCGAGTGCGGCATTGCTTTTATACAACAGTTCTATAAACCAAAAATTAATATCGAGTGATATTAATAAAGTGACATTTTGGACACAATATGGCCAATTGTAGCTGAAATAGAGCAGAAATAGATCCCGAAGAAGCACTCTGGCTAGCTAGTTCACATTGAGTCAAAAGTTATATTCCTGAAAAGTGTCATTTGCTGATGATGTCACTAACACTACTGTAGTAATCGTTTCGGACCTGGAATTTTACGTGGCAAACACAGACGAGCGGAGTGATACACACAGTGAAATGTCCCAGTGCGGCTGTAGGGAATATAGGCACTTAGTAGAAGCAGTTAGTGGACCGGAACTAACTGTTGTATCATGATGTTGTTGTTCTTCTTTCGGCTGCTCCCGTTAGGGGTCGCCACAGCGATCATTGATCCGCATATTTGAATTGGCACAGTTTTTACACTGGATGCCCTTCCTGATGCAACCCTCCTCAGCTTTATCCGGGTTTGGGACTGGCACTGGGAGTGCACTGTCTTATGCAATCCCAGTGGCTGGGGTTTGGGTCCCTGCCCGGGAACTGAACCCAGGCTGCGGCGGTGAGAGCGCCGTGGCCCAACCACTAGACCTCCAGGGACCCTGTAACTGTTGTATAATGATATTTTGATAAATTGCATTACGCTTTTCTGAAGTATTGTCAGTCTCTCTAGTAGTTTTATAACACTGACTGACTCTAATGTTACTCACAGTAACAAGCTGAATGAACGCTGAAATAATGTTTGGCATGAAAGTTAAATTTTTCCTCCATTTGTTTGTTGAATAATTAATTTGAACAGAATGTGCTTTTATAGGAAAATCCATTGTGTGGAGGGTCTGCTACAAGTCCCTGGGGTAATGTTTTAGAAGGAGCGTTTTGATATAACCCTGAGATTTGGCTTCCTGCTGTGCTACTGTTAGAGCTGCTATTATAGAAAATGAATCAACGCCTTCTTCATTCAGAATCAAGTATCCAACAGCACTGTGGTATAAATAAAAATAGAAGCAATGTATTGTCAATGTCAGTATCTCTTGTGTATTGTCAATATCTCTTCATGTATCATGATACAATATTTTTGCCATGTTGCCCACTCCTACATCGCAGACATGTGATGTGATGTGATGTCCATCTTATCTGAATGCCAGTTTCAATTTGTGTGAAAGTGGGAGGTGTATCTAATAAACTAGCAACTCAGTGCATGCAATACACAACATTACTGTACACTACATTTTATTTATTATAGAGTATGTTACAGTATTTCAGCTGAAATATCCACACATTAATCTAAGCTTTGTGAGGATTGTGCTGTGTGTTACCCCCTCTTTTCATTTGAAAACACACCTGACTCTACCATTCTCTGACTGATGGGTCTTAAGCGAGCTTTGGAATCACAGCAGGGAATGCCGTCACCTTGTACAGCGTGAGACTTTTGCCTGTGTTTTTTTAACTCCCATTTGTGCAATTTAGTCCATGGCTTGGTTTTCCTTTTTTTTTTTTTTTTTTTTTTTAACAATACATTATAGTAACTCATGACCTTAGTCTTGTAAGGTTCTATCTGAGTGAATAGCAGTTTTGAGATTATGGGGCATCAAAGATTTGACATTCCAGCTAGAAAACTCTAGAGTACTGTAATCTACATTTATATTCCAACTAGACATAAAACTGTAAAACTTCTAATCTACATTATCAAAAAATCTGCGACGATGTTTGAAGAGTGACTAAACACAGATCGAACCTGTAAGCTTATATACTGTTTGATTATTTTTTTTTTTATAAGATTCTATCTGGCTCTTTCTCATTAAACAACCCCTCAGTCTCAAACATTTTAAGCTTATTAAGACAAAATTATGATCATATGTGCTTTTAAATAAGTATAATTTTTCTGAATTTACTATCTAAAATCGAAAATTAATGTATTTCACATTTGAAATTCTAGATTTTTTAATTTTAATACTTTATTCTAAAACAATTAACAGTCTAGTCTAGTTTTAAAATACACACACACATCTTACAAATGAAGTCTGCTATTTGCCTTTAATTCCAGTTACACTGGAAGGGTCAGTTTGTTGCATATTGCATACATTTAAGGCTGATGTTAGCTAATGTATTAGCATTACACTATGCTGAACACCTGCAATGTGTTTACACGTCGTAAGACCAGCAAACACCATCTCACTCTATTGTCAACATGTAAATAAAACATGGATTTCGATTGGCCAACAGCCACCTATGTTACATATTCATCCTGGTTGAAGATTAGCTAGCAGGTTGAAGTGTATCTGTTAGTTTAGGGATAGATCTTTTTAAATATTACATCAAAAACTTTGCAAAAAAGGACACTACATGGAAATAAAGTATGACCTACTGATAAAGTTTATGTGGTTAACTCATTTTTGACCAAAACGCCAGATAGAATCTTACAGTGCTGAGGTCATGAATTGTTGATTGGTTTCCTGTCCTCTATATATATTTGTTTTTTTCCTCTTCAGGGAGTTGATATTCTGGGTGAACAGAAAGACTCCTGTATGGGCTATACAGGTACGCAGCTCTCTGAGTTACTCTACTGCCTTCTTGACTGCTTACAGGTAGAATCGAGTAGAAAGAGGCTTTCAACAGCAGAAAGAGTTCTAAAACAATTTCTTGTTTTCTGTTCATAATTGGTTCATGAAATAGATTCTACACTGTCATATTATACACATGCTTCTTTTCTGTATTTCCTGTGGTCTAGGTGACAGTGGCCTTAATTAGCTTCCTAGAAGCAATGCTCTTGACATATCTCAGTTACAAGGTATGGTCTCTGCCGTTCTCCTTTCCCTTTTCAGCTTCGTATAATATTGATCCAAATGAACTCTGAGGGCCAGATGGACGTATTCACAAAGCACAAACAAACAGAAGGCATACTCTCATAGCACAAGCAAGACCTGAAATGCACTTGCAATATCTGAAATTAACATTCTGTTGACTAAGGCTGTAGCTTATTACACAAATTGCACATGGCATCTGCTACTACATGCTGTGCATGAGGTGCACATTAAAATGATCTATAAACCGCAGTAAAGTGGTGGAAATTCTCAACCTGTCAGAAAGCTTGGGACTAAAAAATAAATACAAGTTCAGACCCAAAAATAATGTGTTAATAAAGTTCTAATAAAGTTCTTGTTAAATAATCTGCTTCATATAAGTTTGCAATTAAGCTGTTTAGCTTAAATTATGTTTAACATTTTTGGTTAGATGTGAAGAAATTGATGTATACTTTATGGCTAAAAGTATGTGGACACTTGACCGTCGCACCCATATGTGCTTTTTGAACGTCTCATTCCAGATTTAATTCCTCTTTTGTTCTCAAACTTCAATCTAGTTCCAATATATTCCAATGCACCTGGCCTATACTGCTTTGTTTTTGCCTTGTATGCCATTTTCATACACAACACACATTCATACCCAACATGAGGTCACATTACGTATGAAATAACTCCAAACAGCTTAGTGCATCTGGCCCTCAGTGTTGAGACATATGGCTAGCTTCAGCTCTAATAGTTCTCTGAAGTATGGCCCTGGTTTCTTACTTTGTGCAATTCTTTTTATTTTTCCTGTTTGATAATTAACAGAAAAATATTCTGCTCTAGGGGTAAATTGTAATAGGCTTTCAAATCAACAAGACATGAGCCTTTCAGAACATTATGTTAACATTATGTTAAACTAACAGCATAATGGGAATCAGTAATGGTGGCCTGGGCTTCACTAATGAAGGAATGAGTGTTTTCCATTAGTAGGAACCAGACCATTCCATTCTCAGATAATTATTATTTGGGTAATTGTTTTGCTAATTATTTTGTTTCAGGGAAACATTTTTGAGCAGATTTTCCAAGTTTCGTTCATCCTTGAGATGATCAATACAGTGCCATTCATAATTACAGTAAGTGGCTAATTTGTTGTCATTATAAAACCCAAAAGACTGAAAAAACAAATTGTCGATATCCCACATCTTAACGCTTTAAGGTTCCAGCTTATTTTTCTTAAAGTATAAACACTGTTTAGTAACTCTGAATTATTCAGTAACTACTGCGAAGCTGGTGGGGAATGTAAGTCTGCACCTGCTAACAAGACCTGTGAGATTAAGGTCTAAAATATAAATTATGTATAGAATGCATTTAACAGCAATAAGTGCAACTAAACGAGACAGACATCCCCAACCCAATTCAGGAATGACCTTTTTTTATTTCTTTAAAAGCTGTTTAAACAGATTTCGTTAATTTGCATATACTAATACTAATAATAATAAATCTGTAATAATACACAATCCTTATGTCAAATGTTTCTTGTTGCTTTCAGATCTTTTGGCCCCCATGGAGGAACATATTTGTCCCAGTGTTCCTTAACTGCTGGCTTGCCAAGTCGGCACTGGAGAACATGATCGTAAGTAATTAGCAGAATCAGCTAATGGTTAAGCATTCAATTAAAAGTATCTGGTGGAAAAACAATTGCTGTCTAATCTCCAATCAGAACAGGAAGCTGTAAATAATATGCAGCTTGGTGATTTAACGATGAGTCATCAATAATCAGAATTTGAAAATGTGCCAGCATCCTTTCTCCTGGCAGATGGTCGGGTCAAATGGCCAAGAAGAACTTGGCAGGGAGTATGTACTATTTTGAATTGTACAATTGTGGACTGTGCTAAACAGCGCAGGCCAGATATCAGCCAGACAAATTGTACTTAGCGTGTGAGTTGTTTAAGTGGTGTCAAGAAAAACTGTTTGTTGCTATCTCAGCCAAAGGTAATTTAAATTTAATTGAAATTGTTAGGGCACAGAGTGTACAAAAACAAGCCAAATATTGAGCTTTTTGGCACCCCAGTTGTGAGATGCTCCTGAAAGTTTTGTCAAAGAGTGGATCACCACTTAGAGAACTGTTACAGTTTCATGTGTTATTGTGTCGTTAGAAGGAGTGATCATTTTGTTTTATAATTTTTAGTAGGAATATTTGCAGATTAGTTTTCCATTGCATTCATAAAAGAAATATAATGTTTTATTAGAGACATAAATAAATGTCTATAAATGAATCATTTACCTTCTGTTGTGTTGATGTTGATATGGTGTAGACCAGGGGTCTTCAACTGGTGGAAAAAATATGATAAATGTACGAAAAACTGCCTGTGTTTCAGTGACTCCAGTTTTATAAACATGATCCAGTGCGGCTTCTGTAGCGGCTCATCATGTCACATGAATTTATGTAAATTCTTTAGTTGAAGGCAGCTTAGACCACAGACTAGTAAGGGAAACAAAGCTTCAGAGGTCAGAAATATGACTTGCTTAAAAAAAAAGTCAAAAGAAGAATGTTTAAAGACAAATTAAGTTTGCAGGACAATGAACAAGTGTGTATGTAACACAAGTGTGAAAGTTGTTGTTGTCTATTGAAATAAAGAATAAAAGCTGTTAATCAGAAAAAACATGGGAATTTACAGATGTCATACATTTACAGCGTTCATTAATTCATCTGCAGTAAGTCATTGTGGGCTAAATTACTAATTTACTATTTATTTCATTAGTAATTATTATTATTATTATTATTTTATTATTACTAATTTAGGGAAATAGAACCATC